TATTTATGACTGTGTTTCTATTAGTTCTCTTAAATGCTCAAGATCTTTCACTGCAGTCAAAAGGACATTAACCTTTCTAAATAAGGAGCTCTTTCTTTGCCTCAGAATTGAACCCTGTCACCAGCCTCTGAGAGCTAGCCTTAAGCTTTGGTAGTTTTCTGCTCCCTGGAGAAAGAAGCATCTCAGGACTGAGGCTTTTGGTTAAATTCTGAATTGCAGGACTTTTGCTTAAAGTTGCTAAAAGTGATAACTGTTATTTGCAACCCTTTTACTTTATGTTGCTTTACTGTGCTTACATCCAACTCCAATATAAACAAAATATCAGTTCACTCTGTGTGAGTCTATTTTCTGGTAATAATCAGAGGGTTCACTCTATCAGAAGTGTATGGTGGTGTCAGCAGGTTTTGGACTTTAAGAGTGGGGTCAAGAGCAACAGGGAGCCCAAAAATAACTCAGCTACTCCTAAGGGGGGTAGAGGTTTTCCTGCACCATCTAGCTCTTTCCTCCCCAGCCATATTGTCATGGCCCACCCAGGGGCGGACTGACCATTTGGAAACTCGGGCACTGCCCGAGGGCCCGGGGTCAGTAGGGGGCCCCATGAGATACCACTGGTACCTTTTTCATAGGCTTTTTTGAGTTTGGGCAAGGACACAGGGGCCCCAAGATCCCCTATTGCCCGGGGGCCCCATGAGTTGTCAGTCCACCCCTGGGCCCACCCATTTCATAAACTGGATTTCAGTTTGTTCAATCATGGAGCTTAAGTATCACATGTGGGCATTACCTAGTGTGGTTTGCATGCAGTTGTACTCTGCCTAGGAACGCCTACTCCTCCAGACTGATATCTGCCCATCAAAGCATTGTGATATTTTTATAATGTCTCCCAAGATCCAGAGTACAAAGATACATTTTTGTGTTGCCAGTGAGAGGGTTAATGGCTGGGGTGTTGGGGTTAACTCTTAGTTGTGATGTGCCTTCCCCTACATGACTCACATCTTTCATCTGAGGTGATATATGCAGGAGGAGACCAGACCTCATGACTTTCCATGTACAGTGGGGCAAAAAAATATTTTTGGGGCTGTTTCTCCTCAAAGGGACCAGGACGACTGATCCATGTACAGGACAGAATGAATGGGGCCATGTATCGTGAGATTTTGAGTGCAAACCTCCTTCCATCAGCAAGGGCATTGAAGATGAAACGTGGCTGGGTCTTCCAACATGACAGTGATCCCAAACATACCGCCCGGACAACGAAGGAGTGGCTTCGTAAGAAGCATTTCAAGGTCCTGGAGTGGCCTAGCCAGTCTCCCCCCCATAGAAAACCTTTGGAGGGAGTTGAAAGTCCGTGTTGCCCTGCGACAGCCCCAAAACATCACTGCTCTAGAGGAGATCTGCATGGAGGAATGGGCCAACATACCAGCAACAGTGTGTGCCAACCTTGTGAAGACTTACAGGAAAAGTTTGACCTCTGTCATTGCCAACAAAGGATATATAACAAAGTATTGAGATAAACTTTTGATATTGACCAAATACTTATTTTCCACCATAATTTGCAAATAAATCTTTTCCAAATCAGCCAATGTGATTGTCTGGATTTTTTTTCTCATTTTATCTCTCATAGTTGAGGTCTACCTAGAATGCCAATTACAGGCCTCTCTCATCTTTTTAAGTGGGAGAACTGCACAATTGGTGGCTGACTAAATACTTTTTTGCCCCACTGTATTGGAGGGGAACAGTGAGGACCAGTGTGTCAGCATGTGAGCTGCAGTCATGGCAGAGTTTCCCTTTAGCGGGTTCCCATTGTGGGTCCCGGCTACTGGACTAGTATCACCACTCTTTGGGAATGGACCTAACCTATTCTAAAAGGTATGGACTGCAGAAGAAGGAAAGTGCACAGGTCATGTCTGCATGTTGCACTAAATGTGATGCCTTGAAATGTGGAGAATTGTAAATAGATTTTATTCAGTAAAGCAGATGCTGATTAATTGTCTGGTCTGAGTGAGTTGAGCAAGAAATTAAGTGTGTTCACAATGTATTAAAGAACTCGGGAATGAAGAGAACCATCTTAAGTTAACCCTTGAGGTTAAGGAACAAAGTGTGCATTACAGTGAATCCTTGAGTTTATGAAGTGAAGAGTGTCGAGAAGGAGGAGCAGTCAGTTCAGGAGCTGAGGCAGTGGTGGCCGGTGACTGAGGTTCTGTACATACAGGTAACCTGGAACTTGGCATTCTCTGCTAGGTGGCAGGGTCTCTGCCAGAGGGCCTGCTGCTGAATGGAATTCACCTAGGGACTGGGCCTGGAACATGTGTATGCAAGGCCTTGTGAACTAAGTGCAGTGCCTTCACTCTTTGCCTTTAAAGTGGTTATAAAGTCTAAACATGTCTTACCTTAACCACTTGCCCTCCAGAGGATTTACCCCCCCCCCCCCTTCCTGACCAGGCCATTTTTTTGTGATATGGCACTGCATTACTTTAACTGACAATTGCTTGGTCATGCAATGCTACACCCAAATAGAGCTTTCTTTAGGTGGTATTTGATTGCCTGTGCGTTTTGAGAAAAAAAAACAATGTTTTTGACTTTTTTCCTATTAAACATGTTCAGTAAAAAAAATTAAAAAAAATCAAATTTCATCATAAATTTAAGCCAAAATGTATTCTGCTACATGTCTTTGCTAAAAATAAAAATCACAATACGTGTAATTGGTTTACGTGAAAGTTATAGCGTTTCCAAATAGCGGTGTATATATACTGTAATTTTTTTTTTTTTTTACAAGTAATGGCGGCTATCAGCGACTTATAGTGGGACTGTGACAGGCATTCTGACTCTGGAGGGAACTGACTTTGTGTCACTGACATCCCCAGTGACACCAATACAGTGATCAGTGCTAATAAAAAGCACTGACACTGTACTAATGGCACTGGACAGGAAGGGGGTAACATCTGGGACGATCAAAGAGTTAACTGTGTGCTGTTTCAGATTATGTGCTGTATATGTGCTTCACTGTAACCACACTGCTTTGTATGGCTCTGCTATGCAGAGCCATACAAAGCAGTTTGCAAGAGTTGACTGGGGAGAGAACTGTATTGTTTACATGTAGTTCTTTCCCCGTTGGTATTACTCTGTGACTACTGGGTGCCGGCGACTAATCACCAGTCAGGACCTGGTGATTGACAGCCGAGGCCATTAATGGTGGCGCAGGTAGGGCGCGGCCCCTACCCGGAATGGCAAAATCACATGTACAGTTGCAAGAAAAAGTATGTGAACCCCTTGGGATTACGTGGAATTTTGCATGAATTGGCATAAAATGTGCTCTGAACGTCATCTAAGTCACAACAATAGAAAAACACAGTCTGCTGAACATAATACCACACAAACATTAGATGTTGCCATTGTTTTTTTAATTGCACATAACATGTAAACATTCACAGTGCAGGGAGGAAAAAGTTGTGAGGCCCTAGCTTAATGACTTCTCTCCAGAGCTAATTGGAGCCAGGAGTGAGCCAACCTTGACTACAATCAGTGTGATGATATTGGATGTGTTGCTGACAGCTGTCCTGCCCTTAAAAAACACACACTTGTTTTGGGTTTTACTGGTTTCAAGAATCACTGTCTGATGTGAACCATGCCTCGCAGAAAAGAGCTCTCAGAAGACCTACTCAAGTATTGTTGACTTGCATGAAGCTGGGAAGGGTTACAAAAGTATCTCCAAAAGCCTTGATGTTCATGTGTCCATGGTAAGACAGACTGTCTACAAATGGAGAAACTTTAGCACTGTTGCTACTCTCCCTAGGAGTGGTTGTCCTGTAAAACTAACTGCAAGAGCACAGCGCAGAATGCTGCATGAGGTAAAGAAGAATCCCAGAGTGTCAGCTAAAGACCTACAGAAATCTCTGGCACATGCTAACATTTTTGTTGACACATCTACAATAAGGAAAACATTAAACAAGAATGGAGTACATGGGAGGACACACGGAGGAAGCCATTGCTGTCCAAAAAGAATATTGCAGCACGTTTGAAGTTTGCAAAAGAGCACCTGGATGTTCCACAGCACTACTGGCAAAATATACTGTGGACAGATGAAACCAAGATTGAGTTGTTTGGAAGAAGAACACACAACACTATGTGTGGAGAAAAAAAGGGCACAGCACACCAACATCAAAAACCTCATCCCCACTGTAAAAAAAACATGGCAGAGGGAGCATCATGGTTTGGGGCTGCTTTGCTGCTTTGCTGCCTCAGGGCCTGGACGAATTGTTGTCATTGATGGGAAAATGAATTCCAGAGTTTATCAAGACATTTTGCAGGAAAACGTACGACCATCTGTCCGCCAACTGAAGCTCCGCAGAGGATGTGTCAGGGCTCCCAGGTGTGACCAGAGATGTGTGACTGACGCAGGGAAACGCAGACCTCAGATATGTTATAAACAAATATAATTTATTAACACTAACAATACAAACATAAACGCAGTGCAATACTAAAACATAATACAGTGCAAACAAACCAAACCAAACCACCCACAGATAACAGTTACAAACAAGCAAGCGTCGTCAGGCAGGCCGGGTCAATATCAATAGGGCAGGTAGGTACAGGGGGAGCAAGCGGAGATTGGTCAGGGTCACAAGCCAGGGATCAGAACAGGTAGCAAGCAGCGTGGTACAGAGGGTCAGACAGAGGGATGGTCAGGAGTGAGCTGGGATCAGAGCAGGAGAAGTCAGCAGCGGTTCAGAAACAGGATGCAGGACAGAAACAGGATGCAGGGCCCAGGACAAAACACAACACCAAGGCAGAGTCTGTGGGTCTGGCCATCCCTTAAATACCCCAGCATCATCAGTTCCAGGTGTTAGCTGGCTGAAAGGTTGAGTCTCTGATTGCTGGGAGCACCCGCTGGCCAGCCCTGGTACTGCAGATCAAAAGGCAGGTGAGTCCCACCATTGCTGCCAGTCCATTCCTAACAGTACCCCCCCCCCCAAGGAGCGGCCTCAGGACGCTCCAAACAGTCCTAGCTGGGCAAAATGTTCCACCGCCCGGGTCTGGTAACTGGCGGGATATCAAAGACTGGCACACCGGGCAGGACTCCGGGCAGCGGCACACCGGGCTGGACTCCGGGCAGAGGCACACCGGGCTGGACTCCGGGCAGAGGCACATCGAGCAGAGGCACACCGGGCAGAGGCACACCGGGCAGAGGCACACCGGGCAGAGGCACATCGGGCAGAGGCACATCGGGCAGGACTCCGGGCAGAGGCACATCGGGCAGGACTCCGGGCAGAGGCACATCGGGCAGGACTCCGGGCAGAGGCACATCGGGCAGGACTCCGGGCAGAGGCACATCGGATTTCCAGGCGAAGCAGCAGCAGGCAGCGGGCCACCAGGCGGAGCAGCAGGCACCGGGCCCCGGGTGGAGCAGCAGGCACCGGGCCCCCGGGCGGAGCAGCAGGCACCGGGCCCCCGGGAGGGGCGACATGGCATCGGGCCCCCCGGGCGGAGCAGCAGGCACCGGGCCCCCGGGCGGAGCAGCAGGCACCGGGCCCCCGGGCGGGGCGACCGGGCCCCCGGGCGGGGCAGCAGGCACCGGGCCCCCGGGCGGGGCAGCAGGCACCGGGCCCCCGGGTGGAGCAGCAGGCACCGGGCCCGCGGGCGGGGCAGCAGGCACCGGGCCCCCGGGCGGGGCGACATGCATCGGGCCCCCGGGCGGAGCAGCAGCACCACCGGGCCCCCGGGCGGAGCAGCAGGCACCGGGCCCCCGGGGAGCAGCAGGCGCCGGGCCCCCAGGAGGGGCGACGGGCATCGGGCCCCCAGGCGGGGCGACAGGCATCGTGCCCCCAGGTGGGGCGACAGGCATCGTGCCCCCAGGCGGAGCGGCGGGCGCCGGACCCCCAGGCGGAGCGACAGGTCTCGGGCCCCTCAGGCGGAGCGGCGGGCGCCGGACCCCCAGATGGAGCGACAGGTCTCGGGCCCTCAGGCGGAGCAGCGGGCGCCGGACCCCCAGGCGGAGCGACAGGTCTTGGGCCCTCAGGCGGAGCGGCGGGCGCCGGACCCCCAGGAGGAGCGACAGGTCTCGGGCCCTCAGGCGGAGCGGCGGGCGCCGGACCCCCAGATGGAGCGACAGGTCTCTCGGGCCCTCAGGCGGAGCGGCGGGCGCCGGACCCCCAGGTGGAGCGACAGGTCTCGGGCCCTCAGGCGGAGCGGCGGGCGCCGGACCCCCAGGCAGAGCGACAGGTCTCGGGCCCTCAGGCGGAGCGGCGGGCGCCGGACCCCCAGGCGGAGCGACAGGTCTTGGGCCCTCAGGCGGAGCGGAGCGGCGGGCGCCGGACCCCCAGGAGGAGCGACAGGTCTCGGGCCCTCAAGCGGAGCGGCGGGCGCCGGACCCCCAGGCGGAGCGACAGGTCTCGGACCCTCAGGCGGAGTGGCGGGCGCCGGACCCCCAGGCGGAACGACAGGTCTCAGGCCCCCAGGCGGGGCGGCGGGCACCGAGTCACCAGGCACAACCGTGGGCTCCGAGTCAACTGGGATGACCGCTGGCACTGGGTCAGACATTGGATCGTCTGGCTGGACAGCGGGCATCGGGTCACCAGGCATCAGGTGATTTGGCTCGACAGCGGGCACCGCGTCATCTGGCAAGGCAGTGGGCTCCGAGTCAACTGGTATGACGGCGGGCACTGGGTCAGACATTGGATCGTCTGGCTGGACAGCGGGCACTGGGTCACCAGGCATCAGGTCATTTGGCTCGACAGCGGGCACCGCGTCATCTGGCAAGGCAGTGGGCTCCGAGTCAACAGGCACGACAGTGAGCACCGGGTCATCAGGAACCGGATTGTCTGGCTCGACAGCGGGCATCGGGTCACCAGGTATGACAGCGGGCACTGGGTCACCAGGCATCAGGTCATTTGGCTCGACAGCGGGCACCGGATCAGGTACCGGATCATCTGGATCAACAGCGGGCATCGAGTCAACTGGCCTAATAGGATCGTCAGGCTGGATCAGTTCATCATGCTGGGTAGAGGCATCAGGCTGAATGCCGGCGTCCGGCTGAGTAGAGGCTTCAGGCCGAGTAGAGGCTTCAGGCCGAGTAGAGGCATCAGGCCGAGTAGAGGCATCAGGCCGAGTAGAGGCTTCAGGCCGAGTAGAGGCAACAGGCCGAGTAGAGGCTTCAGGCCGAGTAGAGGCATCAGGCCGAGTAGAGGCATCAGGCCGAGTAGAGGCTTCAGGCCGAGTAGAGGCTTCAGGCCGAGTAGAGGGATCAGGCCGAGTAGAGGCATCAGGCCGAGTAGAGGCTTCAGGCCGAGTAGAGGCTTCAGGCCGAGTAGAGGCATCAGGCCGAGTAGAGGCTTCAGGCCGAGTAGAGGCATCAGGCCGAGTAGAGGCATCAGGCCGAGTAGAGGCTTCAGGCCGAGTAGAGGCATCAGGCTGAAGAGAGGCATCAGGCTGCATACAGGCATCAGGCTGAAGAGAGGCATCAGGCTGCGTACCGGCATCAGGCTGAAGAGAGGCATCAGGCTGAGTAGAGGCATCAGGCTGAGTAGAGGCTTCAGGCTGAGTAGAGGCATCAGGCTGAGTAGAGGCATCAGGCTGAGTAGAGGCATCAGGCTGAGTAGAGGCTTCAGGCTGAGTAGAGGCTTCAGGCTGAACCACGGAAGGCAGGCTCACACCGGTTTGGATACTGGCAGGATGGTATTGGTTGGAAAGAATTTTCGCTTTTTTCTGGTTTTTAACTACTGGAGCACTGCAAGTAAACGCAGGTCTGCAAACGAATGGAGCAGCTGGAGACAGAGAAGAACTGGAGGATGGAACAGGAGAGGGAGCGGTTGCTACAGAGGGCTCTTTTACAGGGTTAAAGGCAGGATAGGTGCAGCGAGTGGGAACAGGGTACTGACATGCGGTAGATAGCAGGGCAGGAGGAGCTGTTGGGAATACAGGAGTAGAGTTAGAAGCAGGACTGGGTTTTTGTAAGCTGACTGAGGCTGGGTGCAACAAGTCTGTCCATGTCTGCAGTAGGGGTTGAACAAAGCTGAGCTTACACAAAGTCTGTCTGGTCAATGACTGCACTGCGTTTATACAATCTCTTAGTGTCTGTGGTGAACATGTGGAATAACGCTCCAGAAAGTAACCCACATCATCCTCTAATAACCACACCAGGGACTCAACCTGGTCTGCACTAAATGGTGGCAAAAATTCATCCCTGCATTCGGGGGAACCAGATGAAACCAACTCAACACAAACCTGAATCAATGGCTGCACCATAGAGAAATCTGTGCCCTGATCTACTAGAACATGAGCGAGCCGTATACATTCTAGCAGTTCATCCCGGGGATACTCCTTCAGAGTCTGATAAGCATACTCTCTGTCATCAAGCACTAGCAGAGATAAATACTCAACCTCATCCAGATCCATCCTTCCCATCAACAAGCCAAGATGGCTTCCCTGTGCAGCCACTTCTGGTCAGGATTGGCCTTGGTGTAATGTCAGGGCTCCCACTCCCAGGTGTGACCAGAGATGTGTGACTGACGCAGGGAAACGCAGACCTCAGATATGTTATAAACAATATAATTTATTAACACTAACAATACAAACATAAACGCAGTGCAATACTAAAACATAATACAGTGCAAACAAACCAAACCAAACCACCCACAGATAACAGTACAAACAAGCAAGCGTCGTCAGGCAGGCCGGGTCAATATCAATAGGGCAGGTAGGTACAGGGGGGAGCAAGCGGAGATTGGTCAGGGTCACAAGCCAGGGATCAGAACAGGTAGCAAGCAGCGTGGTACAGAGGGTCAGACAGAGGGATGGTCAGGGAGCGAGCCGGGATCAGAGCAGGAGAAGTCAGCAGCGGTTCAGAAACAGGATGCAGGACAGAAACAGGATGCAGGGCCCAGGACAAACACAACACCAAGGCAGAGTCTGTGGGTCTGGCCATCCCTTAAATACCCCAGCATCATCAGTTCCAGGTGTTAGCTGGCTGAAAGGTTGAGTCTCTGATTGCTGGGAGCACCCGCTGGCCAGCCCTGGTACTGCAGATCAAAAGGCAGGTGAGTCCCACCATTGCTGGCCAGTCCATTCCTAACAGGATGGGTGATGCAACAGGACAATGACCCAAAGCATACAAGTAATTCAACAAAACAATGGCTGCAACAGCACAGAATACGCCTTCTGGAGTGGCCCAGTCAAAGTCCTGACCTCAACCCGATTGAAATGCTGTGGCATGACCTTAAGAGAGCGATTCACACCAGACATCCCAAGAATATTGCTACACTGAAACAGTTTTTTGTGAAGAGTAGTGGTCCAAAATGACTCCAGATCGTTGTGCAGGTCTGATCTGCAACTACAGGAAACGTTTGGTTGAGGTTATTGCTGCCAAAGGAGGGTCAACCAGTTATTAAGTCCAAAGGTTCACATACTTTTTCCTCCCTGCACTGTGAATGTTTACATGTTATGTGCAATTAAACCATGGCAACATCTAATGTTTGTGTAGTATTATGTTCAGCAGACTGTGTTCTTCTATTGTTGTGACTTGGATGACGTTCAGAGCACATTTTATGCCCAATTCATGCAAAACTCCACGTAATCCCAAGGGGTTTTATTTAGATGGATATACATCAATACCCCATGATGTGAGACTTTCGAGCCATCAAACATTCTCTAGCAGAAGACCCCTTCATAAATCAAAGATAAGCTAGTTTCATTCTAGATGCAACTTTGTTCTGTTCAAAACATAATTATTTTGAGGTTAATGGCACTTTCGTTTACAGATCAATGGCATGGCAATGGATGCAAATTTTACCCCAAGGTATGCTAATCTAACTTTGGGGGTACTAGGAAGCACAGCATATCTGGAGAGAAAGCACATACACAGCTAACATCATATTCAATAGGCGATATATATTGATGACATCGTCATCATTTTGGAATGGTCCTGAAACACTTATTGATTCCTTTGTTCAGCATTGCAATAGTAACAACTTAGGCCTCTCCTTTACCTCTGTCCAGGCCCCCAATTCATTAGCATTTTTAGATCTTGATCATTACCGTGAAGAAAATAAAATGTATGCCAAAAATTATGTAAAACCCATGGTTGGCAATTCCTTTCTTCATTTTCGAAGCTGCCACCATCCAGGATGGATCAATAATATACCTACAGTAGGAGTCAATTTTGTCGAATACGGAATAATTGCCCCCAAGATGGAGATTACAACACTCATGGTAATTTACTCACAAATAAGTTTCTTGATAAAGAAACTGCTGCACTAATTAAAGAGGCATTTTAGAGCTACCTCCAAAAAACATCCTTTCAAAAGAACAGATCTTACTCTTTCTAGTCAAGATCAGCCAATACACTTTACCACCCAATTCCATGTACAATATAAAAAGATGGAACAAATATTCAGTAAACATTGGTCTTTTATTTTAGAAGATCTGTTCCTCCAGTCTTCTATAACCTCCAAACCCAAAGTGCCATACAGCAAGGCTCGTAATGTAAAGAGCAAAGTAGCTCTAAGCAAACTTAAAACCATCTCTTCCACTACAGAAAAGCCCCTTACACTATTCTCTATCAAGGGCATGTATCAGTGTGGAAAAAAGTCTGTCTCACTTGGAAACATATTACAACAAAAGACAAAACATATACTCCAAACAATTATGTGATTTATTGCATTTCTTGCCCATGTGGCCTCCTGTACATTAGGAGGACAATTAGGACATTACATAAAAGTTTTGGTGAACACAGATGGTTCATCGAGGCAGCAAGGGCATGACTAGGGTATAAAAGATGCTTTGACAATGCTGCCTGACCACCACTCCACCAACTACTGTTAGTTAATTAACCACCGATTGGAGTTTAATAGCCATAGAAGCCTTTAATTAACCAAATAACATATCAACATATTATCATTCAATACAGTATTAACAGGACCCCAAAGGTCCTTGTGGGCACTTACCTCAAGTACCTGCCTACACCAGAATTAGGTCTCCAACCACAGAAACACCAATTCGGAGACAAACCAATATTCGTAGGTACCACCAACCAGAATAATGGTAGCCGTACCCAAGACAGGTCCCTTCAACTGTACCTTTTTGCCCATAATAAAACCACATCCAAGGACCTTGTACCCCGCCATCTGCCATGACATAAAATACATAGTACCTGTAACTTTCCAACAACAAGCAAAATAACAAGGGAGGGAAGGTGGAAAGTTGTCCCAACCAAGCTTTCCTCAGACTAAAGACTGCCAAAACCCTCCTGTGTCCCAAACCCCTGGAGCCCCACCTACTACAACCCTATCCACCAATCTGGTGAGTACCCATGAATCTTGATAATTTGATCCACAAACAACTCCCACTATGCCAAAACCTCTTTTTTAACCCAGTCATGTCAGCCCTGCGTCTAAGCTTCTCCTTCTCTCTCTCTGGGCCTAACCAACACAGTGTCCCGAGCAGAGTTTCCGCCTCATCCCTTTAAAACCGAACACATTTTAATTACATTGGTTCTGAGGCTAATTTAATGCAGATAAGGCACTAAGTGCTTGTAATTACCACCTTAATCAGCCACAGAACATGTGTAATTAATATGTATTTGGTTTTACAGTAAAGGGATAAGGTGGCAACCCTAGTCTGACTGACATTTTCTTCAGGGGTAACTGTGTGGGTCATAAAGTCCATCCCAAATACACTTTTCACTGCAGAATGTTTCAAGCAACTATGACAGCGAGAGACATTTTGGATTATACGTTAATTACATTAGCTCCAGGTGGCCTCAGCGGAGAAATTGAGGTACACACTGTGTTATAGTCAATTTGTGGTTCAATTTTTGTAATTATCTTTTTATAGAATTGTTTCCA